TGTGTGTGTGTGTGTGTGTGTGTGTGTGTGTGTGTGTGTGTGTGTCTGAGTCAGAAGTTGTAAAGAGACCATTCAGGCTAGAAAAACTGGATCTCCCTGCTGAGGTGAGAGACATAGTAGCTAGGGGCAACAGTACTTTAGAGCACAAACCTATTTGCAAAACATCATGAAAGGTGAATGAAAGAAGATTGTGAGTTATATTATGTCACAAAACAGTGAAAAGTCACAGAGAAGAAAAAGAATCTGCAGAGAGATTTTTGGGTGACTGCCAGATTGATCATTTACTGAGAATTGAAGATAGAAATAAAGCTCTTTATTAAGGGTTTACTATGTGCCTGGCATGGTGCTAAGCACTGGGAATACAAATTCGGTTCTGATGAGTAGCCTCACTCCACTGGAGATCACAAAGCTTCCTATGTTGGAAAATGTGTCTTGCATCAAACAGCACACTGGGGTTTCTTTATTTTCACTGCTACCTTGTACCTCTATTTATCTCAAACAGGAGAAAAACCCGATACCAGTTCAAGGAATATTTTCCTTCTCTTCTGTGCAGTCTTCTTTATTTTTCCACCTTTCCGCTTTTATATAGAACACAGTCTCTGCAAGGATAATTTAAAAGTTGCTCTGCTTCACCTCCCTCTGTTGGCATGTGGAGATCACTTAGCTCTTTAAACCTCAAAAGACCCATATCCTATGAATCCTGACATTGCAGAAGCACCTCAAGAAGCTCTCCATCAGTGCCGGACTCTTTAGCCAAAAACACTTTACTGGAAGGGGCAAAGATGGTAAATGCCTCTCTCACAACAGAGGTGCCCTTGCTGGAACACCAACAAACCTTTAGAAGAGTTCTCCAGCTTCTTTACATCAGGACAAAGCCTGCTGAAGAAGTCTTCCAGTGGAGGAAGATAAAACAACCTACAGAAAAAATTATTTCAACCTGGAAGCTCAGTCCAACCATGAATTTCACACATTGCAAATACCCCTTCCCCTCCCACTGCTGTGACCTCTCCCTCTGATTGGCTGGTTCCTCCTATAATCTGTATTCGAAGGAAGAGGCCCAGGTCAGTCACATCTTCAGTCCTCTTCCTAGAGGTATTCCTGACTTTCCTAGACTTCTTTACAATGTCCCATCCTGGGTATTTCCTTCTCCTTACCCCTTGTCCCCCAGCAGGAACCCCATCCCCTAACCTCCTCCATATATCTTTTCAGGTTCCTTTTATGTGCTGTCCTCTTCCATTAGACTGTAAGCTCCCTTGAGAGCAGGTACTACTTGCCTTTGTATATGTATTCCCACTATTCAGCAGAAGTGCATGGAATACAGTAAGCTTCTCAATAAACATTTGTTGACTTGACAAATATAAGCAACACAGAAAGTACCTGCCCTCAAGGAACTCACATTCTAGTAGAGGAAGACAATGTATAAAAGGAACCTAAAAGGTATAGGAGAGAAGATTCTAAAAGAATGGAAACAATAATAGTACTATTTTTTAAAGGCAATCAAGAAGTAATCAGTAACTATAGTCCCACGAGTCTATTTTCTCATCTTCACAAAATGTTAAAATTGAATGGCAGTCAGTAATTCGGACAGTATTGCCCTAGGATGGAAATTTTAGAGATGATAATTGAATCTATGGGAGCTCATGAAATTCCCCAAGTGAGAATGCAGACTCCAAAGGAAAGCACAAGAAGGCAAGTGGAGAAAAAAGAGGGAAAAGTGTCCTGAAAACTGACAACAGAGTCTCCAGGAGGAGAGAGTGGTCAGTGTTATCAAATGCTACCAAAAGGTCAAGAGGTTGATGATTTTCTCAGAAAAAGCCATTAGTTTTGGTGAATAGGAGACCAACAGGACCTTTGAGGTTTTAGTTCAGTGGGTTCAAATGATAAGTCCAGAGGCTAGATTGTGGAGGGTTTAAAGGTGAGAGGCTAATGGTAGCCTTCTCTAGGATGGGGTGAGAAGAGAGTAGAAAAAGGAAAAAAAAAAAGAAATTTTGTTGCATATTTGAAAGGAATAGCAAGTTGTGCATAACAGATCTGCAGTTTCACGTACAATCATCTTTTTATTATACTATGTTATAGAAATGTTTATTTTATTTCATAAATATGTATTAATGGAATAAGAATAAAAGGGAAAAAAGAGGAAAAGAAACACAGTCACCAGATGTAGAAGAATTTTTTAAGAACCTTGATAAAAATTAGCTTATACCCAGTACTAGCATAAAACCTGGCACAGAGTAGGTCCTTTAATAAATGATTGCTTACTGACTCAAGTCTCTCTCCAGTATTTCATCACGATGTGCAGATAACTGCATTCTAAAAGGCTTTTTTTCATTGGTCATTATACAAATATTCCATATTAAAAGAACTAAGAGTTAAAATCAAGTTTAGAGTTGGTCTAAGAATTGCACAATTCTTACTCCCTTAAGCCTCTTTCAACAATCTGCCAGTATTAGTACGGAGGCAGCTACAAAGAATACAATCACACAGAGAGAAAGTTGATCTGTGGGGCAGAAAGTCTAAGGCTGTTTCTAATGAGGGCATCGGATCCTCTCCGACTCTAAGGCTGACCCAAATACTCTCTAACTTTAAGGTTGATTTTATGAAACCTATGGAAGGAGGGGGTGGGTGGTTTCCATCTTCGGACGAGTATCTGCGATAGTCCATGCTGCAATGCCATAGCTCTGAGTGCGAAGGAAGAAGGCCAAAGGAAAGAGGAGGGAAGCTTTGGTGGGACCCTCCTTACTGACGGATCTCCTCGTGTATGTGTCCCTCTCTGCTTTATGTGTCTCAGAGGAAGTCTTGTGATTTAGGATTGGAGTTCAGCTGGCTAAATCTTCAGATACAAAGAATAACAAAGGCTTTGGTGATGATATATCCGCTTCACAAAGTCAACAACAGCTATTCCCATGGTACTTTCTAAGCCATTCACTAACCTCTCTAATGTAGTTGTCAAAGGTAAGAGTTCTTGACACCAAAGTCCTATTTGTATGTTGTTGTTTTTTTTTACCAAGTTTGTGGATGATTCAACCCAAAAATAAAGAAAGAGAAAAAAAAAACCATCTTTTCAGAAAAGCTAACCAACACAACAATTACAGGACAGTATTTGCAATATCCATCCCCATATTCCCACACTTTGGCAATGAAGGAAGTGAGGTATACTTTATTAAATCTTCTTAAGAGCCAAGCCTGATCACTAAAATTACATAGCATTCAGTCCCTCTTTTTGTTGTTCTATTTACATTTTTGTAGTCATGTATGTTTTTTCCAGATTTGGTTTGAGCCACTCTGTATGAGTTTGTAAATTTTTTTTATAGCAGAGTAGTATCACATAAATAATGTTCATTTACCACAATTTGTTTAGTTCATTCTCCAATCAATGGACACCTATTTTGTTCCTAGTTTTTCTGAACAAATAAGTAATATGTTGAACATTTTGACAATATGGAACCTCTGTTTCTATTTTGGGATCCTTGGGGTATATACCTAAGCAGTGCTACATCTCTGAATTAAAGTATACAGACATTTTGGTCACATTGCTTTCGTGAATAATCCAAAACGCTTTCAAGAATGGCTAGAACACAGTTCTATCAACAAAAGAAAATGAAATCAGGTACCATTCACAACTATATCTTGTCAACTAACAAAGAGATAGGGAAGATCACAGAAGATGAAATAGATATGAATCCTATAATCTTTTTATAGTAACTTTCCAGAACTTGATTTTTTTTGGTTGCTCTATTGATATATTTAAAGAAATGATCAAGAAAATGCATCACATTTGAGATTTATCAATACTATTTACTCTTAGGGTTATGTGCTCATATAACTAAGGAAATGGGGAAAGGAATAAGAATCTATTAAGCAACTACTATGTGTCAGGCACTATACTTAGGGCTTTACAAATATTATCACATTTGATTATTTCTTGATAAATAAAACCCTGGGACTGAATTTCAACTAACAACTACTGGACAATTATTAGGCTTCATATTATTTTTTACTCCAATTAAAAGTGCAAACAAATAGTACATATCACATGAGTATAAATATTTGATACTAGTCAAAACCATAAATTTAGGTACATTTAACATTTTTGTTAACACTTAAAAGTTGGGATTCAAAATGGCTTACAGTTTTGAAAATAAGACCTCTGGGAACCTGGCTATGAGCTCTCCTCCAGAATCTTCTATTTCTGTCAAAGTACTTTTTTTTTTTCAATCAAGATTGAAACCTTAGAATCAAAATATCATTGATTTAGAACTAAAAGGGACCTTGGAGGGCATCTAATCCAACTCCCTCATCTTACAAATGAAACTGAAGCCCAGGAAAGTTAAGTAATTTGATGACAGTCATATAGGTAGTAGGTACCAAAGGTGGGATTTGAACCTAGGTCTTCTGGATCCAGAGTTGGTGGTCTTTCCATTGAACCATTCTGTCTCCTGCCCATCATCCTTCACCCCTAATACTCCCCTATATTCAATAAATGATCAAATTCTATTGATTCTTATTTTGGATCTTTTCTAGCACACAATATATTTTTTTTAAATTTCTACCACCACTACCCTATTCCAGGACCTAATTACCTTATACTTGAACTGCTACATGACCTTTCTAAGTGTTTTAAGCTTCCACTCTCTTTAATAGAATACTATACACTGCTGACAGTTAGTCTTCGTAAAATATACTTTGAACATGACCCAATCAAATCAATATACATTTATTAAGTGCCTACTAGGTGACAGGTGCCCAATCCTCAGAACCTTGCACTGGTACCCCCATGCTACAGAATAAAATATAAACTTATTATAAATTTTTGGCATATGAAAACTGTAAGTAGATACAGTATGAGAATTTAAATAAACACTTAATTTTAGATACATAGGTAGATATCCTATAAAACTAATCAAACCAGTGCAGTCTGAATTTATAGAAACTACATTTTTCTTCAACAGTAGAAAAACATTCCTATCAAGGCAATACTTTCATGACTAAGTAAGGAAAATTACATTACACAAGGGATGCTGTTTTTTCTTTACCATTTACTAGTTGTCAAAAAGGTGTCAAAAAACTAAACTAATTTCCTGATTATTCCCAGATGTTATTGATCTAGGTTTTGAAAGGGTCTCTCTGAAAAGGTCCATTTAACAAAGGAGAAGAAGATAGTGCTATACAATCATAAAAGATAAGACACAGAAAGTAAGTCAAATCACAATACTGAAAACAAATATTCTACCCTGATGCCTTTTTCCTTGCCTTTTTTTTGAGAGCCTTCTTCCAACATAAAAATAATTTGAAAGATATATTTCTCAACTTAATGACTGATTAGACTTTCTTAACTAGCTTTTTTTTTGCATATTTTGCTAAGTTGTCAATATATTTCAATCTGGACACACTTGTATAGATTTTATCCTATTTCTGCAAAATTGTGTTTTCTTTTTTTTTTAAGCATGCAATGTAGTTAAATAATTGTTGTTCAAATAGATGAAGTTTACATGTATCCATAATTTGTGTTTTGCTTCTATCAAAATATTATACAAACTAAAACAATTTTTAGAGTACCAGAGGGTAAATTTACCTAGAATTTGTAGTTAAAATAACAATAATTTCAAATGAAAGGGAAAAAAGACATTAGAATTCAGAGATCTACTCTTATTTTATCAACTAAAGTAGTAACTAAAACTTCATCACTATGGTACTGTGAAATAAGTCTTTTTCTTTTAGTGAGGATAAGTGAAAATATTCACCACTAGCTGATAAACTATCTGAACACTAAAAGAAATGACCAAAATAAGAAAAAGGCTTACCACTCTGAGTAGTAAAAGGATGCTGAGGAATCAGATGAGTGCCCATCGTATTTGACAGTCTGAACTTAGAGTGTGGTGAGAACAATGATGGAGCAGGAAGCAAGAGATTTGAGCTGGCCTGTAATAGGAAAGGCAAATCAGAAACTAAGTGTAATTTCCTGGGTTACTGATGCAAAAACTGGATGCGAAATATTTAGTTACTGTACGACACACAGACTAGGACTCGAGGAAGGTCAGACAGGTGCTACTAGCTCAAATGATCAATCAAATCTCTTTGATTCAATGCTCTTTGAATATGTATGTATTTGAGAGTTTTAGGAGTTGAAAATTATGAACAACTAATGGCTTGCAATAGAATGATCTATCTATATATCCATCTACATATATATACACATACGTGTGTGTGCTCGCACACCACTTTACTAAGGTGGGTAAAGAGCAGTGGTGGAAATATAATCAAACCACAGTAAAGCCTCACTTATTATTAAAACAAAGACTGTTCATCACAGAGACAGGAATCTTGCTAACTCCAGGGTTAAAGTAAAATGGTTAATTGTAAGTTGGATCAATATGAATAAAAAATAAAATAAGTGTTTGCAATGTAGAGAATTAATACATCTACCATTTAGCAAAATAAGAATTCAAACTAACATTTATGAAAGATTTTACCAAAATAACGGAGACTCATGTTAGAGACTATGTAGTAAATACCTAATAGATAATACCCTATAACCTTGGTTATTACATATATTCTTTGACAACATAGTGATACTTAACAAAACTCCTTCCTCAACAGATCATTAAAAATAACATGAAATAGTACAACACTTTTAAGTTTTCATAAGGAAATATGATGTTTTAGCCTGCAAAAACTACTATAAGTATTTAAAACTGAAAAAGATGTAAAAAAATCAATACTGCCTATTTGTAGAAAAATTAAAACAATTCATTAATAATGATTGATTTATTTTTAAGTGTATACTACAGAATGCTTTTCTTTTCCCTTAAGGGATGATCCACTCTGTTAAGTGTTCATAAGTTATCAAATAATTCATTATTTACTTCATTAGTTTATAGATCTATTTAATCTATTTTAAAATGGATCTACTTAATTTTTTTACTATTTTTAGATTACATTCATTCCTTAATGTCACTCATAAACAAAGAATTGTCAAAATAGTCCTTCCTTTACATGTTAACTAGTATGAAAAATTTTCAATCACTTATTAAAAAAACAAACAAATAAGCAGTATAGCATAATGGAAAGAATGCTGGATTTGGAGTCAGAAGAGACAATCAGGAATCCCAGCTCTGATATGTGTTATGTGTGATCCTTGAGTGCTCTGCCTCAATTTCCTACTCTTTAAAAGGAAAGGACAGACCATACGATCCCTGAGGGTCCTAGATATTATGAACTTCAATGAAAGGCAAATATCTTTTAAAACATTCCTTTGTTGATGTACATATGATGGTTGCGATATGCCCTTTAGCTAAGTTATCATATACATACTTTACTTTCAAAGTCCTTACTTTAAACAAATTAGTAAATGACAAACTTTAAAAACATAAAACTCTGGGAAACGTCTTCATGAACATGAATTTTTTGCACTTTTGATTTTTAAAAATTTCTTATTTTTTGCATGATCATTTCTAAAAACAAACAAAAAAACCTAAAACCTAAACCTGTTACCACCTACAGTCATATGTGGATATATTGGTGTCTCATTTAAAGTACAACTAAAGGAAGAAAACATTAAAAAAAAATCATTATTAGAAAGTTTTCTCATATTCTTCAAAACTAGATATGAATTAGATAGCATTCCAATCTTATGAGAATAATAAGTTCTAAAGTTTCCATGTAGAAACATGACATTTTAAAAATTAGAATTATGTAAATAAATATAATTGAATCATTACTTCTTTCAAACCCACATTTCAAAAACTTGAGTCAACCTGGAGCAGAAGGGTAAAGAGGACTATCTGGCTAGATGACAGCTAACTTGTTAGATTTTTTTTTTTAGTAGAAGGAATGAATTTAAATGCAGTAACTACAATGAAAATGGCACATTTACTATTTAATTATTTAATTCACTTCTCTTTTTAGACTCACTTTTCAGTTTTACTTCTGTATTCCTGAAAACTTTTCATCCTACATGTCAAACATTGTGTTTTGAAATCAAGTGCAAAAGAACAGGTGTACACTGGGGGAAATAAAAAGTCTGCTTTTCAGTCTTCCCCTTCAGAAAATTACCCACATTAAAAAACCTACTAAAAAACTGTGAACCAGAAGATACTTATACTTCTCTATAGAAGCAGAAAGATTACCATTCTTTTTCAATCAACTGCTGTTATTTGGAAAATAAACACTGCAATTACATGTTCTTTCTAGGCATTTTTATACTTCTGTTCTTTATTGACATGTTACTTAAAAGCCCATTTAAATGCGTATAAAGTAACAAGTACCATGATAAAAGAGTAGATAATTCAATCTCTCAGGTGCAGAATTAGGGTTATTTATTACAGAAGCTTCAAATGAGAAGGATGGAAGGACAAAAAAGCCTACTTATACATTTTCATGATTCCATGTGGCAGAAGAAAAATAATAATGCTCATTAAATAGAGTGAAGCAATATCTATTTTTGAAATAGATGCTGTGGAAAGGAATTGCTAAATAATTTAACAACAGCAAGGTTGGCTAAGATAGCCTACACCAATCTACCCACTTTTCCCAACACACTTCTCTGCTTGCTTCATGCAGAAACCACAGTCTGTCAAAGGCCGTTTGCTACAGCTCCCCTGTTGAGTAAAACTAAGAGTATCAAAACTTTATGGATTTCATAAAACAAAGAAAATAAAAAGAACCCACCCACAAACTCTGGCTAGTTTAGAACAAAGCTGCTTTGGCCTTTCCTTAAGAGCAGAGCAGTTCCATGCAAAATATGCAAATATTCCTTCTCTGAGAGAGCTCATTTTCATGTTTAAAAAAAGGCATTCTCCATGTGACTAAATAAAATGGCCTAAATCAAGATGAGACAAGCTAACAACAATACTTTTCCTTTTTACTGGTTATATAAGTTTTATAACCTTTTGAAAGACATATAATCCTAATTTCCATACATGCTTGCAAGTCAAATTAGGTTTAGATGATTTTGGTTTGTACTTTAGTTTTACCTGAGTTAGGGATGTTTTTAAAAGTTTGTATTTCAAGAACATCTCAAAATGCTTTTAAAATTATCCCCAAAGTCAAGTATTCAAAGGACACTCTAAAATGTTTCGTAAATTATCCCTTAAAACCTGGTGGCACTACATGCTTAAAAATTCACTATTCTAAATTTTTTCTTGTAGCATTCTATTTTGGGTACTAACAGAAATAACACTTTAATGTGAAACACAGATGGGAAAGAATACTCAACTAGGAATCAGAAGACCTGGATTGGGGATAGTTCTAACTCTACGACTTACTAGCCCAGTGACCAATGTCAACTAATTTGACCTCTTAGAGACTGTTTTCATATCTGTAACATAGGAATAATCATGCTCACCCTGAATACCTCACAGGAATATTTTGTAAGGATCAAGTGAACTTTGTTAAGTATAAAATCTTAAACAAATGTATTGTTAATCCTATAATTAGGCAAATGAATCTGTGATTTTATCAATCTGGAGTTAGATTGATAAAGTATTAAATGCTTATTATATTCCAGAACTGTGTTAAGTGCTGGGAATACAAGAAGAAAAAAAGATACATTCTTTAGACTCAACTATCTTACATTTTAATGGGGGAAAATAAAATATAAAAGGGAGTTGGGGGCGGGGAGGTGCCAGGGGAAAGATTGGATGTATCAGGTGTGGAGTGAGAACAGAAAAGAGAATGGATGGCCAAAGCAGTTCATGAAGTGGTAGTCCTGGGTATGGACGCAGCAATTAGAGAAGCTGACCGCAGAGGCATCTCCAATGGAGGTGAAAAAGTCCAGAGTCAAGAGTGAAGCTGTAAGAGACATTCCCGCCTATGACGCAGACCACCATCCTGTAAAACATTTGTCCACGTCCTCAAATAAGGTTTTTTGTTTGTTTGGTACAGGGGAATCCAACAAATTACCATATTACTATAATAAGGATCCCTCATTACTCATATTAATCACAACAATAAAAATATCTCAAATAATGTCAGTTTATATTTGGGCATAATCACAAAGTAACTGTGATGAAAGGAAGGCACTTATTAGATTCTTTGCTTTGGTGTATTGAGTTTAGTTGGTTTATTATTTTGTTTCTAAACATTTCTATTGCTGGTCATAGGATCATAGATTTGTAGCTGGAAGGGACCTTTAAGGCTCTCTAGTCCAACCCCCTCATCTTAAAGATGAGAAAACTGAGGTTCAGAGAAGTTAAAAGAATTGCTAGGTCACACAGCAAGGAAGGGTGTGAAATGGGATTTGAACCCAGGTCCTCCTGACTCCAAGTCCAGAGCTCTACCCAGCAGGTTGTCCCTCATCAGTCAAATCTATACCTCTGCTTGGCTTTTAAAGGCCTTCATAAACTGACCCCTTCTTACCTTCCCAGTCTCATATTTTCCTCCCCTCCACACACTCTATGATCCAGTAACACTGGCCTCCTCGCTGTTCTTCCCACATGACTTGCCATCTCTGACGCCACCCTTGTTCACTTCTTCCTCCTCATACCCAGAATGCTCTCTCTTCTCATCTCTGCCTGCTGACTAGAGGAAAGCAAAGAAGAGGAGAAGGGAGGAGAGGGGAGGAGAAAAAAGGAGAGGAGAGGGCTCTTTAATGGCAACATAAGGAATCTGTTTTATCCTAGAGGCAACAGGGAGCCACTGATGACTTTTGAGCAGGGGAGTAACACTATCCGCCCTATATTTTAGAAACATTGTTTTGAAAGCTAGGTTGATGATATATTAGCATTAGGGAGGTAAGGCAGACAAAGTGATCAATTAGAAAACTACTATTATAATAGTCCAGGCAAAACATGATGAAGGTTTTATAAAAAAGAGAAGGCAGTAAGACAAGTGATAATAGACACAACAGGACTTAGCAAGTCATTGGATAGGGAAGATGAGGGAAAGGGAAGTGTCTAGAATGATTCTGAGATTCTAAACCT